GGGGTGAGGTTGCGGTGAGCAGGTCCTGTTGTTGCAGGTTAAATTAGAGCTAATGTCAGAAATCTGTGCTCTCTGGGTAGAGTAGGGAGACTGTCCTCAAGACTGTGGAGAAAAACTTTTTAATCCCCTCAGGTTTGTTAGATTTGAAAAAAACTTTTTAATCCTCACAGGTTTGTTCGATTTACCCTTGAGGATGGGAACATCCTGGAAAATAATCGGTGTGTTTGGGTCGTCAGCCAGGCCAGCGATTAGCACTGGCTGAAAGCGACTGATCCGCATTTTAATATCATCATCATACTGAAAATCACAGCTCTGAGTGTCGGGACAGCCCTCCTGAATTAGAACCCCCACCTACCGAGCACGCGTAGCAAATACAGGGAACACTGTGGTTTAAAATCAAAGCGAGAAAAGAACTGACCAGCTGCAGTTAACAAGAGATAAACCCAAACCAGTTGTGGTTCGAAGGCTGTGGCACCGACATGCTGACCTGTGCCCGTGGGATCAGATCCGTAAGCACTGTATCCTGAATCACTCTGTTCGTTAGCGTCCCTCATGCGCTACTTTTTGCTAACTACATTTTATGCTCGCGTTCACTCTACTGCGAATTGCTAGCAGCCAAGGTTTGTTTAACTAAACATGTTTTTTAAGGATACATGTTTTGTATCGTTAGAGTTCTGCTCGCTCTCCTCCATGCAGAGCTTGGCCAGGTTCTGTTGGTTCTCTGGATGTCAGGGATCCGGCTGCTTTTTCCAACATGGGTTTGAGTACCTCATTACTACGTTTGCACCAATAAAATAATTAGAGGTCATATTTTGGGGGTCCATAGCATGGCTTTGCCCAAGGAAGATTGTCCCTGTTTGCTCCAACGCAAGGCTGGTGTTGTGCTTATTATTCTGCCAGAGAAAAGTCTTTGTGGAATTTGCTATGAAGCCGTGGGTGCAGGAGGTGCTCGGGAGGTGGTGGAGGTTCCAGAATGGTATTTTCACGGTCTTTCTCCTGGTGCATGATCCCATTTGAGCAGAGTCAGCCTGGTGAGGCAGGCTGGTATAACACACAACCCAACAGAGAACATGCCGTGTGATTTTCACTTGAAAAACTCCACGGTGGCAATTAGGTCCTCAGTGGTGGTGGGCTCCTGGGTCCCAGCCCTGTTGGAGCTGCTGAGGGAAGCCCCCACCCGCTGTGCTGGGGAGGTCCCTTCCCCACTGGAAGGGAGACATTTCTCTCCATCCCTGGGTTTCCCATTCCCCTCTGCCATGGTGCTGATCACTTTAGTTCTTGCTCATCTCTTTCTTCTGCCTGGGTCTCAGCCGTGCTCCTGCCCTCCCAGCCCTCCACCCCTCACCTCACTGCGCCAGCCAGAGGCTTTCCTCCTCCTCTTCCCAGTGCTGGCAGAGGGAGTGCAGGCAGCATGGGGGAGCACCCTGCCTGCACCCAGCCCTGCACCCAGCCCTGCACCCAGCCCTG